TGTCGCAGTGAATGCAAATATGCCCCCGCCCCTTCCACAGACACCTGCTGCACCTCTCCAAAATTGTAGGTGACCACAGACAGGAGGCCACTTGTCAAATCTACATCCGCTCTACTCATGTAAATTTCCTGTTTGGTTACTTACCTGCTTGTTTTGTTTATGTGACCGCCTTGCGGAAAATAACTCGTGAAGATGGACCAGCTAGAAGAGCGAGGTGCGAGAGAACTCTGGGACCATTTTTTCCTCCTGGATCCCCACTCACCGCCTCGGCTGCATCTAGACCCACAGCTAGTTCGTGATTTTCCCACTTGCGTTGTGGTGTGGAATAACAGTGCAGACCAAGCTTCAAAATTGAGCATAAATCAAAAATGTCTTCATCATACCTGCAACAAGCTCACTGCGACATACTGCTGCGGGGGTATAACCAGCCCTTCAAGTGAAGAAGGCAGCCTTTGGTGAACTTACTTGACAGAGTTAGATTTTGGGAAGGGCTTACAGATGCAGTAAATGACGGATGTTGAGGTTCATCACACTGCTAAGCAGAATCATCAGTGAAACTCATGTGGCAAGGTAGGGAAGCTAGTATTTTTCTGAATGTCTGAAGTGTCATGATTATGGAGGCTGACTGTAAGGAGATGACGCGGTCTTATCATGCGCTCTTTGTTATCTAAGAACTGAGCCAAAAACGGAACCGCACTGAGCCCTACTCATGAACTAGTACCAGTTTAGCGCAGTCCGGTTCAGTTGTGCGTGCCATTTACACTCAACAGTTATCTCGGTTACCGTGCTCAGACTGCTCTCTGCACAGTTTCAAAAGGGTAGTGTAAATGAGGCTACCGTAAATCCTCTAATATAGTTCGGGGCATCTTGGTCCAGACCATTATTGGAAGGAGGCCATAATTAGAGGCAGGCCTCTATTTCTATTTTATCAAAACAGACTATTGGTGGAATGAATAAAAATGAGATTTTGTGTCTCTTTGATCCTATAAAATACTAGGTTCATTTATTGAAAAAGTACAGTTACAATAACGGTATACAGAGCATTATTCAGACATCTTCCAGCAGCTGTATTTTTCTGCACGGTCATATGAAAAAAAAAAAAGAGACAGAATGGAATCTTGGCCAAACTGACTTGCGAAACAAAGTAAAAAAAAAAAATAAAAAAAAAAAGTGAATGGAAGCTGTTCTGCCATCACAGTGAAATTGTATTTGAAGTGGAAGTAGGCTGCCAGTATCATATCTTTCAAGTAGTCTGACAACGAAGGGACATGAAGGCGAAAAAGAGCGGAGATCCAGGTGGAAAAAGGGTCCTAGCGTTCTTGCGCACCTCCCTCTTCTAGCTGGTCCAACTTCACGAGTTGTTTTCCGCAATTTCAGTCAAACAAAACAAGCCGACCTCCTGTCTGCGGCACTGTCTGCGCTAAGGATGGGACTTCCCATGCTAATGGCTTGGATTCGTTGCCCCCCTGTGGTACCTGTATGTTAATATCACAAGTTGTTGAGGACTGCCCAGGAGCACCGTTGGTTCTAATTATAAGAGTCCGGCCACTATTTACCTCCGCCGACAGTGACACAGGCCAGTATTAGAGACCCGTCTGCTAATGGAATACAGGCCAATATTAGAGGATTTACGGTATTATCTTTAGAGTTTTTTTCCCTTCACTTTAAGCACTTGTTCTCTGAGGCTTGTTATTTTACTGAGATAACTTCTCTTTTTTATAATTAATCAAAATAGTTTTCACTAGATTAATGAATTACTGAAATAATCAATAGCTGCAGTCCTTCTGAATGCAGATTTGTTATATCAGGAGATACTCTGAGGCTGTTTGTGTCCCAGGATCAGATCTCAGTGGATCGTCATAGAACCACCTCAGCTCTTAAACCAACACTATTTGTTGTGTTTGAAACATGTTCAACAAGCTCAGGTTCCTGCCTGAGTAACACACAGGAAGTAAATGTAGGTTGAAAAGAGTATGTGACAAAATTTTGAACAGAAATACCAATTTACTTTTTGCTTTTAGTGTCTTCTGCTTTGCTTACATTTTATTAAAAACGTTAACATTTGAAATCCTGATAAACCTGAATTGGCAGCTAAAGTGCAATATTGAGATGTCAAATAAAAATGTTTTTATTTAATTGAAGTTATATGTTTGCATGTTCTTTTACATATGTCATGCAAGAATAGAACCCACAGGTTGAAATGGCCCATATTTTTTATTTCCCTGGGATGAGCTCATACTAGGCTGCAGCAGGAGGAATTTGAGCAGCCCTCTGCTGGCTGCAGTTTAGAGGAGGTGGAGGTTCCTGGAGGAGGGCCAGACCCGACTAACTAACTGAACAGGAGGAGTCATCTGCAGCTCCACCTTTTCTGTAAACTTATTCACGACTGCTGCCTGTTTATCCAGGAACACCTGGAGGACAAAAGCTGCAGTCAAGCTCATTTAAACAAAGCTAAATGCTGTTCTTTTTATTTCTAGGTCGTTCTTGATCTGCATTTATTAGCCTTTCAAAATATTATTTACACCATGAAGCAAATGCACAGATGGAAACAATCTTACAAGGTTTCTAAATTATCTTCAGTTTCTCCTGCTGTCAAGGTCTTTTGTTGACTCTGAAGAGACGATGATAGAGGTCTTTTCCCCACGCTTCCCAAACGTTGCATTTCAGACATTTTCCTCTGCTGCAGTGGAGATAAATCAGCTGTGTACACGGCCATTAACTCCTACTCTACGTTATACAGGCTGATGCTACCCCTTCTACCCAGTCAGTGCTCGGTTTTAATGGTTTATCATCCAGTTTTTAGAAAAATACAATTTCTCTGGTTCAAAAAATGCAAATGGGTGCAGAGGAATATCAAAATTTTCTTGGATGTGCACCATGTTAAAAAAAGCTACTATAAGTCTTATTACTACATATATATATATATATATATATATATATATATATATATATATATATAGTGTGCAAACATGAGCTTTGATCTTTTATATTAATGCCTTTACTACCTCAGAAATGGTTGTAGTGTAGGGAGAGAAAAAAAAAGTCAATTTCAAACATGTTTTTGCAGAGTTTTTGGCACCAAACCAATCAGGGTGATAAACATCACATGTTGTTTTAACATCAACACATCAAGATGTGATATTAAAGCATCTGTTGGAGATGGAGCAAAAAATTTTCTGGTCTGAGATTTTCAAAATTTATACTGAAAAAGTCCATATGCAACATTTACATGTATAGGCACACCAGGGATTAGACCCTGGGTTGTGAAAAAACTAAAAGTTAACTTTTTATAACAAGCCAGATCAGACAGTTGCCACAGCCCTTAGGCACTATTAGCAGTTTGGTAGGGAGAAAAACATCTAAAAGGAATAGAAATGAATCATCTGCTGGATTGCTCAAAGCTGTGATCCAAAAGAACTGATTCTGGGATTGGCAAAGCAGTCAATTAGCTTCCCAAATCACCTCCCTAAAGCTTCTTCAACACAATTGGTGAACGTTGCTTCTGAGTTTGGTCTGTGCGTCAATTCATCGTACTGTAGTCAGATATCCAGACTTAATTGTAATTTTACAGGCTACAATAAGCCCTCAGACAAAGGTGCAACTTGAAATCAAACAAGTCTAGGTATTTATATAGTTTAAATAATTCTGTGATACAAAGTTAATTAATTCAAAACATTTAGATTTAACATACCCTAAATGATGGGTTTTCTAAACAGTTGCAGCTTGTTGTGTAACCATTTCACCTTGGAAAGGTACTAAGGAAAAAAGACCTGAAATGAATAGAGATGGTTTTACCACAGGTAGAATTGTGAGTGTTATTCAGCGATAAGAGAATCTAAATAACCCAGCTCAAAAATAATTTGGCAGAAACAATGTGATGTAATCACACTTTTTGTTTTTCATTTTTGAGTCTAACAGCTTTTATTTTGCAGCGTTCATAGAAATAAATGCATCTGAGTTTGGGTTGTAAAACTACAAACCTTGAAGCTTCTAATGATACACTTCAAAAACTAAACGGAAATAGAAGAAACTCAGTCATCAACTTCCTGTTTCATGTTTGAGTGTTTTGCAACTGGTTACAGTGTGTATTTGACGTCACTGAGCGAGGAGGCCTCTTCTGTTAATAAAGAGTTTAAAGTATAAACCAGCTGAGTTTAACAGCAGTTATTGTAACATCTCAGCAGAAAATGTACTGCCACATGTAATCTAATTTACACTTTAGGAAAATGTTGAGAAGATAATACTCTGGAGTCGTATTTCCCTTTAAAACCTTCCTCTAACAGCTCACACTTATCTTATCCTTCTGTCTGGATTTTTTTTCATTTCCTCATGTTTCTTCTTGTGTTTCAACACGTTCAGCTGGAGCAGAACAGAACTGGTATATTCAAGGCCTCAGGGTTTCTAACTAACTACAAATTAAATAGTTCATCTTGTACAACAAAGAACAAAAGGGACACAGACCTAAATTAATTAATATATTATATCTTTTAGTTATAGATCAACATGTACGGATAAAAAGATTATGTAAAACATGCAGCTTTGATATTAAAATAATAAAATATCGCTTTTGATTCGTTACATTTTTTCATGCGATTTTTTTTTTATTACTGTTCTGATATCTTTCTCTGAGCTGTAGTGTCTCAGTAACTAATATCTATAATCATCTAACTGTCCAGATATATTGTTTCCATGTAGAAGGGAACATTTTGTCCCTATGAAATATTAGTCTATATTGCATCTAGGCTGTCCTTTGAATCCATATATTGTCTCGTGTAAGCTTCGTTATTAAACAACAGGTTGTTTTATATTTAGTCAGTAAAGTGAGCCCTAACCAGATGCCTTATTAAAAAGAGCATAAAAGAAAACCCCAGTTTCACTCTGTAGACTTTGTCCTACAGGTTAATAAAGACCAGTTCTGCGTCTGAATGCTAATTTCTTTTCTAACAGACCTAAACAACAGCCCTGAAGCAGATGTCCTCTCTGTGTCCTTGTTTTATCAGGACGAGGTTCTGGCTGTGTCCAGGAAGATGGTGGTACGAGTGGAGGACCTGGTGAAATGGTCACGTTTGGAGCCGGCAGGGTGGAGCAGCAGCCCGACTCCTCTGCCGGTCGGGACCAACGGCGTCCACATACCTCCACAGAGCAGCGAAGAAAGGAGTGACACACCAAACGCCGCTGTTGAACTGCTGATAGTCAAAACTGAGGGTAAAAACACATTACTGGATATCTCAGTTGCAGAACATCTGGTGGATCTCTTTACATATGAGCAGAGGAGGATTTTTCACAGTAAAATCTACTTTATACATCTTAACACTAAGTGTATTTATCTTTAATTTGAGTAGGTAAATGAGATAGTTTGCCAATGGAATTAGTATTTTTACTCTTAAAATAAGATCATTAGATGATATGCACTTGAAATAAGACAATGCAGTTGTGTTTTCTTATTTTAAGTGTAAATTGTCTTGTTCCATTGAAAAAATGTCTCTTTTACCTCTTCAACCCAAGAACAAATGCACTTATTTTAAGAAAAAATGACTTATCTAGATTTTCGATATTCTTCCAGTGAACTTTGTTTTTAAAATGATGCAGGTATGTGTTTACAGCAGCTGCAGATGAGCAGAGGCCTTTACTGTGGGGATATTCAGTCCTTTGCTCTTGCTGAGAAATGCTGCAGTTTCATGTTAGCTTCATGTTTGAACATTTCAGCAACACATCTTGGTCTGAGAGATGATCTGTAGGTTTAGGAGCTAAAGGACAAACCGAGCCATGGCAACATGAATATTTAGCACCTCTAAACTTCTGGAAAACGAACTGCAAAGGAGTGTTGTAGAAAACTGCAAATGTGTTCACACAACTGATAAAACGTTTTAAGATTTTACAGTTTGAAAATAAAACAGTTTCTTTTAAACAAGGTTCTGATTCAAGTCTTCTGCCCTCTAAATTATACTAATAATAAAGACTAATAATAACTTAGTCTTAAACCATAAACTTTTTTCTAGTTGTTTATATATAAAAAAAACATATTTGATGTTTTCCAGACCTAAATAGCCCAAAATGAGATTTGAAATCCCTGAATTAGAGTGTAAAACTGGTTACTTATATTCCCTTAGAAAATAAAATCGGCAAATTTAGTTAATTTAAATGTGATTTGTGTAATACATTTTGTGGGATTGAGGCATTAGTCAGTATTATTTCTGAATGCATTTTATAGAGTTGGGATTCTTCGGAGCGGAACTGTTTCATCTTCTCTCCACGCTGATCCTACGTTCCTCTGTGTTTCTTCCCCACAGACGACCCGATCGGGCGACAGACAGTTAAAGTGCTCAGCTACCCACAGTACTGCCGTTTCCGCTCCCTGCAGAGACGGATCCAGGATGGAGCCAGGGGCCCCTCTTTGCAGGACCCCCACCTGCTGGCCCTGGGGGGCATCAAGGTGCTACCAAATGTCAGAGTCATGTACTGCAGAGACACCTTCAACCACCCGACGCTGGAGAGCAGCGCCTGCTTCTCCTGGCAGTTCAGTGAGTGTTGCTGGGGAAAAAACAGACATCAGAGCTTCTTTTTTGGCTTCCTGTCCTCATCTACTGCTGATAATAAACTGGCACAACAACCAGTTTAGTAGAACTCTGGTCAACAATTTCCCATCATGAGCAGGATATTTTATTTAATTTACAACCCAGTCTAGCCTATTCTTATTTTGGGAGCTTAATGCGGCTTTTTTCTACCACATTTTTTTCCTTCCACTGAATTTTTTTTAATATTTATTATTGGATACAGCACAGCTGGTTTCTTTAGCAGTGACCCTTGGTGGCTCAATCTCCTTTTAGAAGGTGTCCATGACTGTCAGCCGAACAGCTGTACTTTCTGATTCAAAATTAAAGCTTTTATTCAAGATTCTGAAACTTCATCTTGGGCTTCATTAGCTGTAAGCCAAAGTCATTCACATCTTCAGAAATAAATGTTATTTATTTAACCCTGTATTAATCAACTGCAGTTTAAAACTACCACCTTATCAGTTCTTTTTTCTTTCATTTCTAGAGCACCATCTTTTAATATTGTTGCTTTTAAAATCAAAATAACTTCTTTGTCTTCAAAAGCTGATTAATAAACCTCGTCAGAATGAGACCTGTTTAACTATACCTGGAATTTAAATCGATTTCTCAGGGTTTTTATTTATTTTTTTATTTGTTGTTAAAACAAAATATCTTCTACTCATGAGCTCTTAGTATCAGGCAGCTCTTGAATTAATTTCAGGTCTATTGTTGCTCTGTGAAAAACAATAAAAACACTTCCTTTCTTACAACTTGTTTTTTTACCAATGACATGCTGCCCCCTACTGGGCATGTTGGTTAATGTTGTTTAATAAACTGCTCTATATCAGACCTCTGAGTTGCTCTAGATTTCCAGTAATAATCGTTTATCTTCTTTTATTGTTCTCCCGTTTCCCTTTTCTGCAGGGTGTCCATCTCTGAGTCTCAGAGGACGACCTCGTAAGAGGAAAGGCCGTGACAGCAAAGACTCTCCGACCTCTGGTCAGCCGGAATCTTGGATTGAAAGGATGAAGGTCAGTCTGTGCTTGGAGACGTGAAACAATGTAGTTTTGTTCGGAAAAGAGAAGCTGTGCTGTGAGAGCGAACCGTCTGAGCCTGGAGCCTTCAATGACTCAAACTCTTTTCCCTAAACCTAGATAAAGACTCAGGAATTAAAGCAGGAATGTTAGGATTTAGAAAAAAACACAGGATGCAGAAGTCAAAGCACATTAACTCAAATTAATTGTACAGACACATTTCTGCTTAAACTAAACTTGTATTGTTGCTTTTCTCATATTTATTAACGGAATTAAAATAATGTAACATATTTCTGTAAAGTTTAATGAAGCAGAAAAAAAACTATTTTAGCTAAAAGAAGGTTGTTTGTAAGAAGAATGAAATCCTGCAGCATTCCTCACTGCGGCTCTTCTTCCTGCAGGAGAATGTGATGGGCAGCGTAGAGGTTGGCTGTGAGGGCAGCTGGCTCCCCCACCCAGAGGAGCAGCTGTTCCTGGATCAGCTCTTCTCCTTTATGGAGCGTCAGGGATCGCCTATCCACAAAGTTCCCAACCTGGGCTTCAAGAAGAGTGAGTATCCCCTTTTCCTCCAGCTGTCTGCTGTACTTCTCTCTCTGCCTTTACTTCTGCAAATAGTTGAAATAATTCCTTTTTATTTTCTCTTTAATACTTTTTTTCAGTCATTTTTCTTTCATTAAATTAAAAACAATCCACTGGACTTTTTTTCCCAAGTTTGAAGACATTTCGCTTCGCATTACAGTCTAACAAAAGAAGCCAAACACCCACATTCCAAATAGGTGGACCCCTTCCTCTGTTCCAATTTGCATGCTTTCAAAACAAAAGCAAGCCTTTGTTGGGCTACTGTATAAAACCGCAAACTAAACGCTATTCCTAACATTTGAATTGAAAAAGCTTCCTGGATGGGAAGCGAAACGTCTTCAAACTTGGAATAATTCTCATTTTTGGAATGACTATGACCTGGATGAATGAGAACATTCACCAACATTTTCTTTCATTACTTCCTGATTTAACTGCCTATATTTTTATTTTCAGCTTTTTTGGTATTTTGTAAATGATCTTGTTCATTTTTCACATTTTGTTTGTGAAAACTGATAAAGCAGCTCAGTGGAAAACATTTTAGTGTAACAGGGAATTTTAAACTAACTGTTGCATTCCTGCCTGCAGTCGACCTCTTCCTCATGTACTCGGTGGTCAAACGACTTGGTGGCTACAAAAAGGTGAGCTTTATTCGTTTCTATTGAGATGTATTTTAAATAAAATAGCCAGGATGCAACAATGACACTCTGACAGGCTTTTAAGAAGTATCAAGAATTGGATCAGAGCTTTATGTAAAGATATCTGAGAGGTTTGGGTCATCAGCAAAAATGACAAGGAAGGATAAGGAAAAAATACTACTGCTATTGTTTGGATAAAAGGACAGAAGATTCAAGTCGGCTCTCAGAAGTTAATGTGCAATATATAAAACACGGGAGACAGGAGGTTTGATTTGGGGTTGGTACCAAATATTATTGAAAATAAAAAAAAAACAAAGATAAAACAATTTACAATCTGCAGGTTTAGTATGAAATAATTACACTTTAGATCTTTAAATATTAACAAAAAAAATGAAAATTAAAACAAATTCAATTACTTTATTAGAATACTTGACTGGTCTTGATGTCTCTCACACACACACACACACACACACACACACTGTATGCACTCAGTGTAAGTTAGCCCTTTTTTCAAACGTTAAAAATCAGACAGTTCTTTTAAAGTCCAACTCAATATTCTTTTACTTGGTTTGTGCAGAGAGAAAGCAGCAGGCTGACCAGAGCCTCCCTGCAGACCAGCAGATATAAAAAGTCCTTTTATGCTGACGTATCTTAGCTCACCATCGGGGAAACATGGCCTGTGTTGATATAAACAGGACGCCATTTAGGTTTAAATTCAATACAAAAAGAGAAAAAATTCACAAGCTAGATCTAACATAGCCAGTCATAGAATGACCGATAAATTACTTTCCAGTAGGAAACAATGTAAATTCTGTGGAAAACAAATATGTTCAAAAAATGGAAATGTCATGAAAGCTGTGCAAAACGGAATATCATTTTGTTTACGCTGTGTATACAAAAAAGACAATAAAAGTCATCCAAGTCTAAAAGAAAGAATTCAAGTCCTTCATTAGCATGCTTAAAAGGCTAGATGCTACATAGCCAGTCCATAAGGTTTCAATGCATTAGATGCTAATGCTAGTAGCACGACAAACAAATAGACTCACCGTCCCGTGTTCAAAATTACAGGCGCAACATAACCATAAAGCTCCTACTCTCCTGCCAGAGAACTAAAAAGTGCAACAAACCGAGAGAACATTTTAGTTTAACAATCAATGTTCTGGTTTGTAGACCAACCTGCTGCAGCTGGTCAGCACACTGAGGGAAAGGGAGTAATGCTGGTTGCTTATTAAATAAATTTATTAACACTTATATCTACATGTTAAGATTTTTGGTGTCTGATTTAATACATTTCAAATTGCTTTGTAGGCACATTCAACTCACAGATTAATGGATGAACTCTGATTATTACAGATAGGAGATCATTGCTCTTTGTTTCTGTCCCAGGTGACTTCGGAACGCCTCTGGAAGGTGGTTTACAACGAGTTAGGCGGATGTCCAGGCAGCACCAGCGCCGCCACCTGCACCAGGAGACACTACGAGAGGTGGACAAACAAACCATCCCGATCCTGTCCTTTAGCTCCCAAAGCTGAAAGCTGTTAATTCACTAAACCAGTAAATGTTTGTGATTCAGGCTGATGCTTCCATATGAAGAACACCTCCGAGCAGGAGGAGCGGAGTTTAAAATCCCTGACATCCCCCTACCTTCCAAACCCAGAGGGATACGAGGACGGAAACCTCTTCCCAGAGGCAGGAAACCTGGACCTAAACCCAAAGAGAAGAAGCTGGACCCTCTTTCAGCTGCACCTCCTTCTTCTCCGGTGAGTTACAAACTGAAGGATTATTTCACTCTATCTCAGTTTCAGCTGGGACTTTAATTCCCAATCTGGACCTTTTTAAACACCTGGATGTAACCAGCTGCAGATTGCAGACCCAGATGGGGTAATAGCTGTGTCATCACTCTGTGTTTGATTAAAGTCATCTACCAAACAGCTTTTACTGAGCTTTATAAATGGCTGAAGTACATAAAAAATTTGGAAAATTACAATCTTACCACAGAATACCGCATGTAAGAAACTTAAAGAATCAAAATGTTTTATTGATAAAGAAGTTTTTTCAGAAAGTTCTTTCTCTTTATTCGGAAGGATTTTTTTTCTTTTAGGGAACTTTGGTTTTATGAAGACAACATTCAGCTTCTTTTAAACTGGTTGTACTCAAAAAGAAACAGTACAGCTGCAGTGTCAGCTGTTATTGTGGGGAATCAGTTTTAACTTTGCCTTTTCTTAAAAGTAGTGAGTTTTTTTTTTTTCATCAAAGGATTTGATTCTTCAGTTTAAGACATTTTAAGCCAATCCTGTTTTCCAAAGCAGCTTCCTTAGGTTATTCATAGATTTCTTTTAGATTTTAATAGTTTGAGAAAGCAGAAATATTTCCAATAACACCAGATAACCAACTTTTCTGCTCTTGTCTGAACAGACTGGGACTCCTAACGGCGCTGTGATGGTGAAGCGAGGAAGAGGCCGTCCACCAGGGACTCGTAACAAATCCACGCTAATGGCTCAGGCCAAACTGCTGGCTCAGCAGCAGGCCAGCATCAAGCCAGCAACAGTAGAGATGAAGCAGCAGAGTCCTCTGCTGCCACCTAAAGGCAGAGGAGGGCCGACACCCAGCACCACACACAGGGTACACACTGGGGTTTTATCTTCCTTCATAGGAAGCTAGAATAGTGGTCTGGATTAGTAATTCTCCAGGGAATTATATGTTTTTTACTTCTTAGGCCGGTGTTCTGATTAAGACCTTTCTCATATCGGTATTCTTGTCCTTCCTCTCTGCAGCCCATCCAGCCGGCCATCATCCCCATGCCCCTCACCCCGGACCTCTCCCCCATGTCCCCTCCTTTCCTCCCCTTCAAATCCGCCGAGCTGAAGACGGACCGAGGAGACTGTGCAGCTGCATCCTCCGCTGTTCTCCTCCCCACTCTGCCTCACTTTGTCGGAGGCTCCTTGAGTGGTTTCAGCCCCATCAAAGGCGTGTGTCCTCTGGATGTCTTCAGGGGCCGCATCAGCCTCCAAAGAGGCCCCGACAGCCCCGCCCTGACCCCTCAGGACCCTGCACAGCTCCATCCCACCATCATCACCATCCAGCCCAAAGGAGGAGGTCCTGACGCCCCTCATCCCAGCACAGAGCAGCTGCAGACTCAGCACCATAACCACTGCTCCGGCTGTACACTGGAGGAGGGGGCCCAGAGAGGAGTCACCAAGGACGCCAGGGGACGGCCCCCCTTGCCCCCGCTGCGTGTCCTGCCTCTGAACCTGGACTGCAGCGTTCAGGTGTGTCAGCTGATGAGAACTCGCCACCTGGACACGTCTCAGCTTCAGACCTTCACCCGGCGGCTCTCCGAGGCTCTGTCCCAGGACCTGAGCACCAAGCCACCCTGTTCCCCCATCACCCCTCCCCCTGAGCAGGCGCTGCCCCTCAACCTCAGCAAACGCTTACCACCCAAAAGACCCGCCAGCGATGGACCGGAGCAGAGTCTGCAGACCGTCAACGGAAACTCAGATCCTACGTCATCCAAGAGATCCCGGACCAGCTTCCAGGAGCAAGCCCAGGACTTCAGCCTCGGCGGGCGGTCCGGTTCTGGTGCAGCGCCCGGTATTCAGAACATGGAGGCGAGGAGCCAGGAGGAACCGGCAGACCTGAGCTCTCCCAGCAGGATCCGAGCCTTTTTGCTCGGCCTGCCGCCCTTCCAGGTGAAACTGGAGGAGGATCTGAACGGGACAAAACTGGTGAAAATTCCTCCTACTGCTGAAACCAAAAGGACTGAGGTTGGAGAAGGAGGCGTGAAGCAGGAGGAGCGGATCGGTAAGGAGCCAACGGAGAAAGATCCAACCCTGTGTTCGAATTCTGGTATCGCTGAGCTGAAAGGAGCCGGACCATCCAACATGGACACACACTGTTTTTAAAGTTATTCCCATAGATCTGGATCGGCTTTAGAGCGGAGACTCCTTTTCCTCACGAGGGTCCATGTTGGTCACAGGGAGCGCCTCCTCAGCAGCTCCCAAACTTTCAACTTTATCTCGCTATACTTTCCGTTTTCTTTGGAGGAACGTCATCGAACAGAATCATGACAATCACAGATGAGTTTCTGTTCAAACCAAACGGGAGCAGATTGTTTTTCCTGAACACTGCCATAACCCTCCATAACACTATAAACCCCCCGATGTTCCACAACAGTTAGAAGAAACCATGGATTGGTGATGCTATGCATCATGACTCCTCCAACAGCATCCACGGTGTACCGTCGTCCGCTAGTCCCATTTTTAAATTCTTCTCTACGTCTGTAGGGAGAGACTTATTTTCTGATAAAGTGTTTAAATGTAATCTAGGGCTCGAAATGAAACGGCGATCTTCACTATGTATCCGATTAAAGTGAAGCATTTTAGTCCTGCTTGTTAGTTGAAATAAACGTACACATACGTGCCTTAAGCAGCCAGGGGGGGCCTCTCTGGCTCCATCTCCATGCCCTCAGAGATACCTTGATGTTTCCGTTGTGTTCAGCTTGTTTCCCTGATCCGCCTGTAGCTTCAACAGTCAAACTACCTCAGGTTCTTCATTTTATTCCTCATTTTGTTCCGCCATGTTTGGGTTGGAAGCCGCTCTGAATGAATCCTCAGCATGTGGAGCTTCACCAACCCTCCGCTGTGCATATCAGTAGAAAATCATCAAACTGTCTCTAGTTCAGTGATTCAGTTCAAACAGTGAAAGTGCTATATAGTTTAATTACAAACAGTCATATTTAAAATGTAAAATTTGTTCATTTTAACGATTAAACTTTCTCATAAAGTCAGACCAATATGAAAACATTGAGGAATGCGAGCCTTCTTCACAGCGTATCCTTATACGGGTCATTATCAGTACTCGGCATCTGATTAGAGCTTATTTTGGAGGAGTTACTGCATCTGTGCTGCAATGCAGCAAATGCAAGGGCATTAAATTAGCATTAACTCTGAATCTCATCTTCCTGTGGAAAACACCCCATAGACTGCTGTTTAGGTCAACCAGGTTGCTGGCCAATCAAATGTGCAAACATGGCTGATTAGGATGGGCTGAGTCCAGCTGGAATTAAATGGAATTAAAAATTAAATAAAAAATCCAGATAAAACAGTAAAATCTAAAAATTCAGGTAGACAGCTCTTCTTACTTTTGGATGCAAATGACACGTCTCCTCCAACCCTCACTGAGGAGGAAACATGCCTCTTTTCTTTTTATTTCTCTGCCTCTCTCCTTTGCCTTTAGACTTTCAAAATTAATTCAGAAGTTTTTGTGAAACATCTTTGGTCCAAAGAAGCTTTCCAGCCCCACAGCGTGTCCCTTAGAGACTCTGGTCTGTGATCAGTTTTACAGTAAAACAGCAGTTCTCGTCTTTTACAACCTTTTCCCCTCCAGTTTTCCTTTCTCTAAACTTTCTGCTAGAAAACTGTGGAGTCAACTGACTTCTAAAATAATGTTGGCTGTGGCATTACATAAATGTATTAAAACTTTTTTTTCTGTAAAAAAAAAAAAACAAGAACTTGGAAGTCATAAACTTAATAATCCAAATATGTGAACTTTCTGTAATGAAGCTATATTAGAAGTTTGACTTTTTGAACTGAATTATTAATAGGAAATAACCTCTTAACTAAATTCCTTCGGATGCTCACGTATTTACGTAAATTTCAACATGTTAAAAAGAAACGTGGATTGAAACGTGCGTAGAAGAAAAAGTGGCTTTCTTGTTAAACATCAAGGTATCTCTAAACCAGTCTGTCCTGTCTGCTTTAACACATGCTGGTTCAGATTTGCACACCTACTGTACTTCTTTTGCTTTTCCATATTTAAGCCGGTTATCTTTTGCCCTCTGCCATTATTTCTCTTTTGTAGTCGACTCAAGCTGATAGGTGCTGTTCTTTTTCCTAGTTAGTATTTTTCCTTAGCTCATGGCCATATTGGTTTTGGCTTGCACAAACCCTAATAACTTGTCACATAGCAAGTCGGTAAATCTTTAATAGGTGGAAAAACTCACATTGATTTGTCCACTGAGAAAATATTTTAAAGAAATATTTTAAAAGAAAAGAATGTGCTTATTAGTGATTATTTTTTAACAGATTTGACTGTTGGTTCAATGTGAAGCAGAAATCTTTGTGAATGATTGCATGAACAACAACGTGTACTCAGTATATGGGCAGATGCACCAAAGTGCTCCACCAGACTCCTGTAGAATTCTGTTATTGATAGTATTTTTGAATTTTACTTTATTCATCTTTATCTGTTTTCTTCCTTTAATGTAAAAAGAAATTAATCATGGAAAATTCATACCTACAAATGTCATATTTTCTTTATTACAGTAATATTTTTTCACCACAGGGTAACTACTGTAACTACTGTCTCTCTGCTTCATCACTTCCGTAGACCTTTATTTATTGTTTGTATGGTGTTTTCTGAAAGCAACAGTCTCACAGTTAAGGACCCAGATTGTTTTAAAGGAACACGTTAGTAAAACGGATCAACTTAAAGTAATTATGATGATGATAAACCGAAGAGTTATCAGGTATTTAAGCAGCGTGATCTAAAAATTAAAATTTGTCCTTGAAAAAACCAGCTTTTAGGACGTTCCTAAAGAGAAGCGCTAACGATAAATTATGCTATTATAGTGTTAGCATTAAGATTGTTTATTTTATCACATGAAAAATTGCTGTTGACAAAACTATTAATCAGCTTCTGGAACGGTTTCTGTCTCATTTTGCTAATGCTTTGGCAAGGCTGTGATCAGATAAACAGCAGCTCAGGTTTTAAACTTATACAATAGGCTAACTGTGCTTTTTCAGGCTTTCTGAAGTGTTTTCTATTTATTTTGTCAACTAAACAAGCTGTATTGGTGATAGAAAGTGCTAACTTTGCTAGCTAGGCTATCTAACAGTGCTAGGTGTGTCATTATCTAAATAAATAGAAGCTCCTATTGGGTTACCAGCGGTTAATTGTCAGCACACCTTGATGGCTTTGGATAGACTAAGCTAAACTGAACACTTTAAAATAATTTTTACCTAATAATGGACGGTTAGAACGGTTTTTTAGCTAAACATGCTAGCTTGCGTCTCCTCGGTTGGCCTTACACTCTTTCACAGAATAGCTGCTATCAGAAAAGTCATCAGTTTGTAATCTAGGCATACGGAAAAAGTGTTTTTATTATCACCATATGTTCAAAAGATTCCCAGATTTGTTTTTTTTTGTTTGTTTTTTAATTTGTCTACATGTTAAGTTAACTTTTTAGTGATTTCTAATTGCTCTGAGAACAGCTGCCATAAAAAGACGTAAACTGTCGGAAACCGATTGTTTTCTAAAAGCGTCCGCTACCAGGTTTGTTTTTAAAGTCATGATCTGCAGAAGGGCTCCTATCCTTCTAGCTAAGCTGGATCTTAATGACCTTAACTTTTAAAATTGAACTTAAACTCTCAAACATGTTCCTTTAAAATGCATCTGGGCCTGATCACTTTAACTGGGTTCCTCCCAGTTAAAACGCGGCTCCACTGGACCAGCTTAGAATTACCTTCCTTGTTTTTTCCAGGATGTATTAAATAATAATGACATGCCACTCATATTTTTCATTCATTGTAGCTTCTTAAAATGGTATAAGGTTTATTTTTTTCTTTGTTTTGGTATGTAAGCTTAGTCTAGATAGTTTTTTTTTCCTCTATTATGTTTCACAATGTTTACATTTTGTTATGCATGTTATTCCAATTTCCTACACAGTGTTTTGCACACTACTACGGCATCAGTCTTGAACGGCACTGCTCATTCATGTAAAGTACTTATAAGTGCCTGATACTTAAATTTGGAGTTAATGTTTGTAAGCAAACGAAAGTTAAATTAGCTCATTAGCCTTCATGCCACCGACTTGAGCGAGGGGTCCCAGTCTAGTGGAGTTTTGTTGAACTTTATGGCCTTTGCGTGTTTTGATGATTCCTGTGTCGAGGATCTGATGGGGAAAGAGCATCGATAGCAGGACGCCGCTCAGCTCCGCGTGTCGGACTGAACCGGACCTACAGGACTTTAAAAAGGGACACCGAGGGGTCGTTTGGACATTCATAATGATAAATGATCAAAATAAAGGTGCTACATGTCACATTTTTACGTCTTTGAATTGTATTAATATGACTTTTCTGCATTTTCTTTTTAAATTCCTCAATTTCATGTGAATATTCATCTAAAGTTTAACTTCCAGCAGCATCATGATGCCCTAATCTACTTTTTTTTTGTTTTTTATCTTACTCTCTGATTCATTTAGTCTCTTAAAAATGCTTTTTCAAATGCTTCCCACGAATAGATAGTTTGGGATTATTATGTAAACAGATCAATTAAAGCTGGTTTAGAGGCAAACTATGATGAAGTTAAAGTTCATTATTTTTTGCATTATTTTTACTGAGCTGAACAGAATCAATCGAGAACACAATTGACTAAATATTTTTGACAAAGTGGAATTGAGTAACCAGATGTGGTTGGGCTTATACATGTTTTCTTCTATACTTTTTAATTTTCATTTTTCCTAAGAAAGCCAAAGGGGTTTTATGATCTAAACTACCTTTTTATTTTAAGACTAAACTACTAATGGAAGCATTACAATTCATTGTTGACAAAAAACACAAACTTATAGTCATTAAATAACTATGCAGATGTGTTTATGTACAGGGAAAAATTTAACTTCTGTTGCTTTAAAAAAAATCTACAAATCAGTGGGTTTATATAAAATATTAAAGTGGGAAAATTAAATCTAAAATCAAAACTTTTTTTTTTTTTTGTGATGGGGAAAAAGAAAATTGGTAATTAAAAAGTCATTAGGAGAGTCAATCACATTATCTAGCTTCTATGTAACTCCTCTCCTGAAATCATCATGCCAGGCCTGTGATAATAAATCCAAAATGCCTTAAACAGTCAATTTCCTGCAACCAGCTTATATCAATAAAATCCAGATGGTGAAAAATGCTCCATGTGGCACCTTTACGAACGGGATGTTACACATATGAATGTCTGACTTTAAGGATTCTAAAAAAAAAACAAATATTTGTTTAATACTAAGCACAGATTAGCTGTAAAATCAAAGCATCTCCTCCAAAAGTTTGTCTTTTGTTTCTAGCATTTAAAGAAGGAATCAACTTGAGGCGATGGATGTGACGCTCTTGATTTGTCAACCTGATACTTTAAGGACATGTTTTATTTTCATTCTATGCTGTTTTACAACAACACGTGGTCCGTTCTCTTCTTTTTGGTCCTGTTTTATTGGTAAATGGCTTTCAGTGTCAGGTACCGTTCCATTTTAACACTGTATATTTATATTAAAAGTAATCTGGTGATAAGATCTGAATTATTGTTTTCTTTTCAAAAGATGAAACTTTTATAGCAGAGCTCTTCTTCTATTCAATTTAGCGATTTAAATAACATTTAAAAAAAAAAATCTAATAAGAACAACACAATGTTAAAATATACGACTAAATGGTCGCCAGCATTAAAGTTTATACAAACCAACCAAAATATTAGGACCATGTACACTATATTATTACATAAAGTACTTATTTTATTCACAAAGTACTGGGGTAAAAAAAAAAAAATCTAAGGTTTTATTTAAATTAAAGAAAGGAAATCCTTAATTCTTTTGATAGAAAAGCAGTTTTGTTTTTTCTAGCACGGAAACAATGAGACAAAGGATTCAGATGTACGAACTAGACTCCATGGTACTGAGGGGCAAACTGGCAGCCTAATGTTTTAAACAATGGGAGATGGAGCCTCTTGGCCTGAGCACTGAAGTAATAACGTGAAGAATTGTTTTACTAAAATCAATAATTGATGCATTCATTAATATCTCATTTTTGTGAACAAACATTTGATAATCAGTTGATTTTTTTATTTATTTATTTTTAGATGGAGCATTTAGTGCTCTGAAAAAGTTGCTCATCTAAAAAATCTGTTCTGAATCTGGTATTTTATGCATATATCTAAAACATTAGGTACAAGTATGCAAAAGGCCTCCTTACTCTCAATACAATAGCTTATTTGTTTATCTGTCTTCACAGTGACTTTTCACAAGTCTTTTTTTGGTAGCACCCTAAATGCTGAATATATGTTTATTTCTGTACCTCAGTTCAAAAGGTGAAACAACTAAACACAAATGTATCTTATAACCTCTCAATTCTGTTTAATGTAAGTTCCAGGCTGCTCAGTGGCAGTTGCAACAAGAATGTCCTAGGTTCGATTCCCAGCCTGAGATCTTTCTGCATGGAGTTTGCATGTTCTCCCTGAGCATGCGTGGGTCCTCTCCAGGTACTCTGGCTTCTTCCCACAGTCTAAAAACAGGAGTGTTAGGTTAATTTGCTTCTCTAAGTTCGCCTTAGGTGTTAGTGTGTGTGTGAGAATGTTTGTTTGTTCTGTTAGTCTCCGTGTTGCCCTGTGATAGACTGGCGACCTGTCCAGGGTGTACCCCCTCTCTCGCCCACTGACAGCTGCAGATGGAAAATGGAATTATGAATGATAAAGTTAAAACTTTCCTTTTTGATAAAGCTTATAGTTAGGGTGGCTCAGGTTATCCTGAGCTATCTCTATAGTTATGCTGCTATAGGCTTAGACTGCCGGAGGACATAGGGACCCCCATTTCATCATTCTGCTTCATTCTCTCTCTGTTCTCCTATTCTGCAGAATCTCTTAGTTCAATCTCTAACCTTCTGCTCTCTCTGCTTTTCCTCAGAGTAGCTTTGCCTCGTCTGTTCCTG